CCAAATCTCAGTCCTTGATGGCAGTCCAAATCTCAAATGCAATAATCTATTATTTCCTCTACAGTCCGGGTTTAGACCAAAGCATGGCTGCTGCACTGCCATGATGAAAATACTGGATGACATACGAATACATTTTGACAACAGTGATTTAACTCTCCTGTGCCTTTTAGATTTCTCTAAGGCATTTGACACGGTTAACCACGATATTTTATGTAAGAAACTTCAACATTATTTTGGTTTTTCTGATAATTCTTTAAAATTTATGATGAGTTACTTAGAGGGTAGGGCACAGAAAGTGAAGACGAAGAATGATTCCTCTAGTTTTAAAGCTGTGTCAGCTGGTGTCCCACTGGGATCTGTCCTAGGCCCGCTTTTGTTCAGTATGTTCGTCAATGATGTGTTCTCAGTATGTAAGTATATTAATGTACATGCGTATGCGGATGATATACAAGTGTATTTGTCCAGTCGTGTAGGTCTTGTTGAGGATTTGTGTTTTAAACTAAATAGTGATTTGTCTGCTATATCGCAATGGGCAAGTGATAACTATTTATGCCTAAATGCTTCTAAGTCCTTTGTGTTGCCAATATGTAATAGTGTAGTGCATGTTGAAAATATCCCTGAATTGTTTACTGGTAACAGTTCTTTAATGTTTACAAACAAGATAAAAAGTTTAGGCTTTGTCATTAACTATAAGCTGTCCTGTTCCGACCACATTAATAGTGTCGTCAGTAGTGTGTATTCCGTTCTGCGTAGGTTGAGAATCTCTGCCTCATTTACGCCATTGAAAACTAGGCACAAGCTAGCTAGACAACTCATCTTGCCCCACATAACGTACTCTGAACTTGTCTACAGCAAGCTTGACACAATCTCCTCCCACAAAATCAATGTTATTTTCAACAATGTCTCCCGTTACGTGTATGGTTTAAAAAAGTTCGACCACATATCCTTTTGGAAAAATGAAATTTTGTGGTGTAGCATTGCTGAGTATCTTGCCGCTAGGAACTGCATATTTATATATTGTAACGTAGCTTTGCCTACGCCACAATAACATATTCAACATCACCCTAGCATACGTCTTACAACTGCACATAGGTACCAATATATGAACATTAGGCCGGGTCGATTTGTGGGGAGGCAAAAAAATCGCCCATTGCTCTGTGAAAATCATATTCTAGGGATCAAAATGATAATTCACTCAAAATTGATATTTACAATAATTTTCAGACGAAAAATAAGAATATTATAAATTTTTGAAAAATGGGCGTGCCCACTTATGGTTACATGTGTATATCTTGGTAACCGCTGCACCAATTTCTTCCAAACTTGGCACAGTTGTTGGCCTTGGTACAGCATACTAAATGGCTGAAAATTTAAAAAATCGGACAATAACCACGCCCACATCCCATATAACGGTAATTTAGAGAAATACAAAATCTTCGATAAATCAGTAAATATTAAAGCTAATTTATTCAAAATTGATGCTTGCCACAATTCTTTACCAGGAAATACGTTTATGGGAAAATTTTGGAAAATGGGCGTAGCACCGCCCACTTATGATCACATATATATATATCGGTAACCGTTCTACCAATTTGTAGCAAACTCGGTATTTTTATTGTGCTTGCCACATAAAAGCAAAACGTTGAAAATTATTGAAATCGGACTAAAATTACGGCCGCTTTTCATATAACGGTTGTTGGCGCAGCAAAGTAGTTTCGACTACCAACATACATTTTTTAAGACTATTCAGTGTTGCCGTTTTGGTTACTTTTAACCGATTTTGGTTATTTTTTTCTCGCCTGTGAAGTTGTTAAGATCTTTCCCATTTTGGTTATTTTTAATACTTACTGTAGTTTGTAATTTTTGTATACATAAATAATTAAATCTTTTAAAAATAGTATAAGCAAATACATTTATTCTGCGCAATATGGTTATTTAACTTAAGTTATTACTACTAAAATGGCAACTCAAGATTCGACTTATTCCGATAATAATCATGTGTTTACATATGCAAAAGAACGTGTAAAAGCTCGAGGGTGCAACAATTATCGGTTCGTGTCTTTAATAAATCGCGGTGAATTAATCGCCAAGTTTTTGAAACGGCCCCGCAGTTAAACCATTTCTTTGCACACACCTACATAATATGTGCCTGAAATGACATTTGAATAATACGAGAGTCATTAAGAAGCCGCGAAAAATTATTAGAATTCCGCGCAAAATTGGTGTTTCAAGTTAATTTATACGTGCTCAATTCTATGGATAAGTGAGAAAAAAATACACAATTTTGGTTTTATTTTGCATAATATAATAGTCATAATAATAATAATAATAAAAATAATAACAGATTGGCGCTTACACATATGTTACTATTTGGCCGAGGTTCTCCTCCGACTTGTGGCGTGCGCCTTGATGTTGTCACACAAAGCGGAGGGACCTACAGTTTTACACCGACTCCGAACGGCGATTGTATTTTTATGAGAAGCTATTTTTCATGGCAGAAATACACTCCGAGGTTTGCCATTGACCGCTGTTAAGAAAAAACCTTTTTCTATATTTTTTTTTGCGATGTTGCTTTAACCAGGGCTTGAACCCAGGTGCATGAGTGAAAGCGCGCACTGCTTACCACTACACATAATATGTATTCCCAAAAAACTTTTAAATTAGGATCGTTATAAGCATAGGCCAGCTACACCTGTCGAGGTTGAGGAGAGTAGCAGCAGCAGTGGCAGCCCCAGCAGTGAAACCAAGTGAGAATATTTGGAATCATTGTATTAATATTACTTACATATGTATGTAGTTGTTTTATAATATACAGAATACATAATATACATGGTCGACTAAAGACTACTTCAAATTAATACATACTCAGATAGTACATATATAAATACCTCGTATATGCGTAATCCAATACCACGTCATGTATGTACAATAAAAAAGGGATTTGGTATTTTTTTTTCCATTATTGCTTACTTTATTAATTTAAGTTAAAATTAATAATAATAATCTTATCGGAAGTAGGTTCAATCGGTTTTTCGCGCTTTTGTAAAATTTATTTACCATCGTATACACGGTAGTTCAATACTGCCCAATTTTTAATTGTTTAATCTTAATTATAAAATATTTACAATGTGGTTGTTCACGCTGATTAGGTATTTCATTGATTCTTACAGAGAAGTTGGAAACTGTGTACCTATGTACTTATTTAAAAACGTCATTTAGAGTTTGGCAATGTTTACGAAGATAATAACATACATATGCATTAGGTAAACGGTAAGCCTGATTGTCTAAAATATGTATTTATATATATATACTTATATATGAATGTATTTCATTTATTTTCAGCCTTAAAAGGATTTACTGTTCAAAAATGCAAATAAAAATTGATTTTCTTTGGTTTGTAAAACTTGTCTATACGTACTATATAAAAGAATTTGTGATGACCTGAGTGGTTAATCTAATAAAAAATTGGTTATTTTTCCCTAAATTTGGTAACTTTTTCGTCAAATCTTGGTTAGAAAGTTCTTGAGCGGCGGCAACACTGAGACTATTGTACTCATACTATTTTATGCAACCATGAATTGTTCTTTATTAACATTCCACTTTATCATTGTTCTTAATTACATTTCGTTCCTTCAGTTAGTCCTTTGTATGCTGCGAACAAGTGAAGTTATTAAAGCGTTAATAAACGAAGCTCTAAAACTCTTGTTTTATTCCTGATAGGTTATGGGCACAGACCCATCGCGAAGTGCTTTATATTTTAAACAAAAGGTAACGTGAATTTCCCGCGGCGTGAAATAAAGAATAAAACGAAAAGCTTTCCGGAAACACGCGGAGTATAAATTTCGAAAAGAAATTTCGCAAATATTGCAAACATGGCGGGAGTCGTTCGCATCGAGCCGCTCAATGCGGAGAATTACGACACATGGAAGCTACATATGCGTGCGTTTTTAATCAAAAATGATTTATGGGCATATGTGAACGGGAAAAAAGAATGTCCGGCTGATGCAGCAGCCGCAGTTTTGTGGAAAACAAATGACGAAAGGCATGTGCCGACATCATGCTAGCAATTAGCCCGACAGAATTAAATCTTACTACTGAGTGCACAAGTTCGCAGAAAATGTGGCAAAAATTGCAAGCGACATACGAGTCGAAAAGCCCTGTTCGAAAGGCGACTTTGTTAAAAATAGTTGCGCTCTCACGTATGAAAGAGAGTGATTTGGTTAGAAACCATCTAAATGACTTTTGTGATGCAGTCGCGAAACTCAAGGAAATTGGTGTTAAGATCGGTGACGAATTTGCGAAATTTTACTACTATACAGTTTACCAGACTCATATGAAACATTCCGTTGTGCGCTTGAAACTCGCAATGATTTGCCAAAGCCCGAAGTGCTGCGTGTAAAAATATTAGAAGAGTGGGAATCGCGAAAAGCTAAAAATGATCGAAGTGAGAGCAATGCTTTGTATGTGAAAAACACGCAAAAGACAAATATGCACAGCAAAAATAAAAACAGCAACGAACGTTATAGCGGCGGAAAACGCGCAGAAACGAAACGAAATTTTTGTTGTTACAAGTGTGGTAAAAGTGGCCACTATGCAAGAGAGTGTCGTTCAAAAACCCAAAGTAGTCAAAGAGCTAACAAAAACCAAGAGCAAAATTCCTCCTTAAGAGCAACAGAATCTGTTTTTTTGGGTCCGAATGCAAATAACAACTGGTGTTTGGACAGTGGGTGCACTTCCCACATGAGCGCTGATAAAAATAATTTTTCTGGGATGGTTGAAGTAAATCAAGTGTTAAATTGAGCTAACAAGAATTCGGCAAAAATTACTGGCAAAGGTGACATAGAAGTAAAGGTGAATGAAAAAGGTTATGAAAAGAATATAACATTAAGAGATGTGCTCTATGTATCAGATTTACGCACAAATTTGCTGTCTGTATCGAAGATAACTGACAGGGGGTATGAGGTGCATTTTCGCAAAAATGATGCAATTGTGATTGACAAAAATGAAGAAGTGTTGTTTACTGCAGAATGTAGTGGTAATTTGTACTTTATGAAATACCATACAAACAGTGCATTTGTGTCGCAAGCCAAAAGTGAAATAAATCTGTGGCACTGCCGAATGGGCCATCTGAAGGAACGTGATTTAAAGAAAATGTCAAAAAACGGTGATGTGCATGGACTGAAAATAAACTTAAAAGATAAATTATCGTCTTGTGAAGTGTGTGCAAGTGAAAAGCTAACACGTGCAGTTTTTCCTAAAAATACCGGCAATCGTACCGAAGATTTACTAGAAATAGTCTATAGCGACGTTTGTGGTCCGATGCGGTGCACCTCAAACGGTGGTAAAAGATATTTCGTAACGTTTATTGACGATAAATCACGTTGGTGCGAAATTTACTTTATTAAACAAAAGTCAGATGTGTTAGAAGCTTTCAAAAAGTTTAAAAACGCGGCAGAGACATTCACATGCAAAAAGATAAAAGCTTTGCAAACAGATAACGGGCGCGAGTATTGCAATCGAGCGTTCGACTTATATCTACAAGAACAGGGCATAAAACGACGTTTAACGACACCGTACACTCCACAGCAAAACGGAATAGCTGAGCGAAAAAATAGGACACTTGTAGAGATGGCTAGGTGCCTAATGAAGCAAGCTGGTGTTCCTCTTTCATTCTGGGCTGAAGCAATAAATACTTCGTGCTATATCCGAAATCGGTGTGTTACAAAATCTACGGGAGAAGTCCCCCACAAAACTAAGACAGGCAAAACTCCAACTGTGATTCACATGAGAGTGTTTGGCTCAAAAGCCTATATGTTGAACAAACAATCGAAAGGCAAATTCAAGTCTCGATCGAAACAATGTGTGTTTGTCGGATATTCATCCGAATCTAAAGCGTATCGTTTATGGTCTAAAGACAAAAGAGATATAATAATTAGTCGTGAAGTGAAGTTTATAGATGAACCCGGATTTAAAAACGAATACGAAGAGATATTTGAACTAGAAAGTGATAAAATCGAAATTGAAACAAGCCCGAATAAAATACCGATATCCCCACAAGAAAGTGACAACTCAACGAGCGAACGTGAAACATGCGACAGTGAAATTGGTAAAACGAACACCAACCGCGGTAAAGGTCGTCCGAAAAAGTTAAAGACGGGTTTGCGAGGAAGACCGAAAAAGATTTACCGTCCAGATAAAAATGTTAAGACTGTGGAAAGTAATTGTGACACCGAATATGAAGACTATGAGTTAGAAACAAATGAAGTGGCATGTGTTACCATAGAAGAAACCCCATCAAGTTGGTCCGAGGCAAGTGCTAGCAGTGATGCAGAAGAATGGAAAAAGGCTATTGAAGACGAGTATTTGGTATTAATTTTAAATCTAACCTGGGACATCGTCGAAAAGCCACACCAACGCAAAGTAGTCGGAAGCCGATTGGTATTTCGAACCAAAGAAAATGGTAAGAAAAAAGCGCGTCTCGTGTCCAAGGGCTACGCTCAGCGACAAGGGGAGGATTTCCACGATACCTATTCACCGGAAGCACGATCTACGACAATCCGTTTGCTTGCAGCTTCGGCTGCAATGGACTTGGAAATCCACCAAATATACGTGATCACTGCGTATCTCAATGGAGAGCTCGAAGAAGCTGTATACATGGAAGTTCCAGAAATGCTAGGGGAAGTTTTAAACAAAATAAAAACAGGTGAGCCAGTGGGCTGTTATGGCGTAACAATGCATAATATAAACGTCGAAAAAACTACTAACGAGTGGTTAGCGGCGTTGCAGAAGCAGAACCCCGTATGCCTGCTGAAGAAAGCGTTATACGGACTTCGACAGTCGGGCCTTATGTGGTACAACCGCTTAACAACTAAATTAAAGCAGCTTGGTTTGAAGGCTTCGACGCAAGATCCATGTCTTTTTACCAAACAAAAAGGTAAACAGATATTACTAGTCACAATATATGTAGATGACTTATTACTAGCGTAAAACGACAGTGTTGAATTGCGCCGGTTGCAACGTGCACCGTCGAGATCGCGAGCGAGATAATGGTGTTTGCCTAGCGTTCATCATGCACCACACTGTGCCTTATCGTCTTATCGAAGCAGACATCGACCGCAGGGATACCATCCTAAAATGTCAGGGTATTGCTATCCGGTCAGGTGATGTCGAGCTCGAAATATTTAACGTATACATACCCCCTGTCTCCAGCTTCCCGAGTAATCTATTAAAATTCTAACTCTACTACTAAGGTTTTCAAACTGTCATAAATTTGCAACCCTGCATGTGATGAACTGTATCACAGCGAACTTTAATTCTCAAGCGAAAAATAAAATTGGCGTCATTGATTGCGCGCATTTTAGACCGGAAAGATCGAAGTCAGTTTTTATTCTTGGACTCGCGCTTACTTGCGTTGTGCAGCAGCACCTCCAATATACTGTGCTATTGTTAGGGATGAAACGAAACCATGCAGGTTTCGATACCTTTACTTAGAAGTAGTATCGTCAGCCGAAAAATATAGGTTCTAAGGTATCGATACCTACTCGTATCGGTACTTTTGGCTTTGAAGGTATTCCGTATGAAATGGATTACATTTATTTTTTTTTAAGAAATAAATGAATCATCCTCGGCGAAT